TTATCTAGGCATACAAGCACTGGGGTACAGGCCAGAGGTGGGGGTGGGTGGCAAGAGGACTCCCCAGAGACAGAGTGGGAAGCAGAACGGGTGGACTGACTGAAATCCACTGCTGAGGGGAGCAGCGGGGAGACAGGAGAGGTCTGCTGCGCCCTGTGGGTAGCTCCCTGGCCGGAGATCGAACTCATGCTGCAGAGGCTGTGGACATCTTCATAGTGCTGCGCTTAACCCCTTCCACCACCTGGGAGGGCCCTGAATGGAAACTTGCTTTATCGAATATTCTTCTATGACACATAAAGGCAACTCTGGAGGGTCAGAAACACAGGTGCATCATCCATGAGATGACAAGTGGGCCGAGACAGCAAGCTCGAGCTCTGAGAAGCTGTCAGCATTTCAGGGTCCCTCCTTCTCTATGAAATAGAGTGAACAGCAAATTCAAAGTATTTTCAAACAAAGTTATCAGAGTGGAGAGCTTCAGTTTTGCTCTTAGGAATCTTTAGGAAACTTATTTGACATCTTATTTGATCGCTGCCTTTCTTCAGTTCTGATCAGATAAAAAGACTCATCTAGAGTAAAAGCAAAACCTTGTGCTACTCTTCTGCCACCCCCCTGAAATTAAAGGACCCTGGAGCTCAGTCTTTTTCAACACTTGTCAGTGTTGAAAATATCCAGGAGGATTTGTTCATGTCTTCTGAAGGCAGGATTCTCAGACGCCTTGATCTGACTTGGCTAGGGGACACCCGGGTTCGTCCTCATCCAGGTGCACCTGCTAAGGGAGTGGGGCGCACATGTGGGTGGGGAGCAGAGGCGCAGGGGGCTGCTGGGCAGGGAGATGTCAATTCCAGCACTGTCATGGTCTTGTTTTCACAGCAACTTGGAGAAGATGTGGGGAGTTGTGGACCCACAGAGCACAGACCTGGAATGTACGATTAAATCAGCGCATGCTCAGGGCCCCCGCCCTGGAACTGGGGGTGTTAGGAATCCTTATCCATGGCTGGAGGCAGCCCCAGGGCAGGATGAGCTGTTGCTTCCTTCACACCTTAATTTTGACCTTTCCTTTCACTCAAAATCAAGACGGATGAGCTTAAAGATGGAAGAGCTGATGATGATGAACTTGGCTGATGGAATAACTTTGCTTACTCTAGTCCCTCAAAGCTGTGCCTTGCACATCTGCATTTCATCCCTGCAGACTCCGGGAGGTCACTCTTCCATGGGGTATAATCTTGGGGAACAAGTACATGTGGAGCATAATACAGGACAGGACGGACAAGGGAGTGTTACACAGCAGCTTCTTCACATTGTGAGCCCAAACTCCAGTCAATAGACTGGAGACACATGAACCCATTGAGTGAAATCAAATTACATGATTTACCTTTGTGCCTTAATCTTGGTCTGGGGAGCTATTGTCTCCAGAAGCTGAGAGCATTAATTTCTAGCCGAACTTGGAATGAGGCTAAATGTCTAAAATCACTTTTACACTTTTGACTTTGCTAGAAAGATTTTGCTTAGAATGCCCTATTAGTTTGGAGCTCTACCCCAAGTTGGAGTCAGCTGGGGTAAATAAATAAGCTATGTAAGCAGAATAATGGTTAGAAACACTTCTCATGGGTGATTCTGTTTCACTGTTGAGAGAAATTTTCTAGTAAAAATCAGAGTTAATGGGAAACTCAGCTCATCTTGATAAATTAATTCTCTAGAATGGGCTGAGAGGGAGGGGGTTAAGCGGGCATATTAGCATCAATTGCCTGTCCAGGTCCTGCTGCTGCTCACCAGATCCTTTTGCTTTGTCTTCTCCATGTTTTCCCAGCTGACGCTGTCACGCATGCCGCTGGGTTTCTACCTTGTGTAATGATGCAATGTGTAATAAACTAGAATGGCACTGAAAACGGGTCGCTCATTACACTGGGATGGGATCTCACTATCTTCCAATTTCCTTCTTTCAACTCCTGCCCTCTGGCCTTATTGGGTCGTATAAAGCCTACCTTCCAGCCAGACCTGGCTCTTCCTGTGGTGGCCACCCTAGGGGACCTGCTACTAAAGCACCTATAGGCTCCACCACAGCTCTCCCCCTACCCTCTTCTCACCTCTCCTTCTTCCCTTCTGGGTGCCTCAGTTCTCACACCAGCTGTCAAGGGGTTGGTTTTAAAGTTTGGCCCTTTGTCTGGCTCTCTGCGTTCCACATCGAGTGGCATCGCCCAGTGTTTGTCTTTCTCCCTCTGGCTTGTTTCATTTAGCATCATCCCTTCCAGGTCCATCCATGTTGCTACAAATGGCATGAGTTTAGCTTTTTGATGCCTGTGTAGTATTCCACATTGTATGCATACCACATCTTCTTGAGCCACTCATCTCTTTGGGGGTACTGAGCTTGTTTCCATAGCTTGGCTATTGTAAATAGTGCTTCAATGAATGTGGAAGTGGAAGTTTCCTTTTGAGTTAGTGTTTTTATCAACCTCCATCACTCATGAAAAATCTACCTGTGTTGGCATGCACCGGCTCTCTGGTTCCCTGGTGAATGCTGCTCAGCTGGCGAGATGAAGCATGATCAAGGGCATTACAGCAGGTGAGAATTAGGAAAGATGAATAAAATAAAGTTTGGTGTAAACACTTTTGGGAATGGCATCTAATCAGAATCGCATTCTTATGAGTGTGTGAGGTGATCCAAGTCACTGTATTTGATGACAGGTTGCCTTTGAAATGAATTTTTTTTTCATTTAGATTTAGATCTGATTGTCATCATTCTTGCTCCTTGAGGAGAAAGCAGGCTTTCGGAATAAACAAAACAATATTGAAATGTTTCCAAAATTTAAAAATGTTACCTGTTATAAGCTATGCAAGTATGGCAGGAGTGCTGTCAGCTACCCTCTTGGGCCCGAAAGAAATGAACTAGAATAGCTCCCATCCTCGGTCTCACTACGTGTGGTATCCCTAACTAGTGAAGTCTGAATACAGAATGCACAGTAGGATATTTTAAGACAGAGAGTGAGAGAGCAAATAACATAAATTTTATTGTAGTATATTGCTATAATAGTCTATTATTAATTATTGTCGTTAATATCTTACTGCACTGAATTTACGTCTCATACTTTATCACAGGCGCGTAGAGGAAGCACAGAGCTACACAGGGCTGGCACTCTCTCGTTTCAGACACCCACTGGGGGGTCTCACAATGTATCCCCGTGGATAAGGAGGGGGGTCACAAAAGCCAAATAATTTTGATTGTTCAAAAGTTCTTTAACAATTTTTCAGCCACTCCATAAATTGTGTTCAACACTTGTGGCACCTAAGAGTTAGGAAGGGCGCAGGGTCACCCCCGGGACGAGGTCCTGGTGTCCGGCACGCCATAGTTTATTTGCATTTATCTATGAATGGGCTTTTTCATACTTCGTAGAACTTGAAGAGTTTAAAGTACTTGTCTAAGATATCAGACTTTAGGAAACTTATTTATATCCGATTATTAATTAATTTTGTATCCAGGACCTACAATATGCTATTATTTATTGGCATATTTTTGTTATTCTTTTCATGAAGTCCTTCCTCTCATAGGCACCTATTCTGAAAGAAATCCACTACCTCTTTGTATTTCTCAATCTGCTTGTTGTCAAGGTTCCTTTGCTTTTTGACAATATTTTTAATAGCTTTTTTAGATTCTGGTTCTACCTCTTATTTTTCTTAATATCAATTAGAAAATTATCATTTGAGAAAATCTGAGATTTTCCTAGTTCTTTTCTACTCCAAAGGAGTGCCACTTGAAATTATAGGATAATTCTCTGAAAATAATTAAGACTGTTCAAAAGAGAGATTTCACATCAGTATTAAGATTTAGCAAGGAGTTTTATCTTTTAAATATTCAAAAATTAAAATAGATCATAACAAGAATGGTAAGTGGGCTTGCGTGTGTTAAGAATTTAAACTGTGCATGAATTAGTTTTAGGATTACATGAATTATTTACATTAGGAGATGTGTAAGTACATGGCTTGGTGAAATACTAAATTTCAATATGTATCATCTAATGTTGAGTACTGAGAGAGGAGAAAGCAGATGTACTAGTATTGTGGGGTGAGCATTCTATTTAAAAATTTTCTAAATTTTTTGTGATATCAAGTCAACAGAGGCCACGCTAAGCAATCTGGGTGTGAAGGAGTTAAAACAGAAACAGCATCTCCTGTGACTCAGAGTCAGCCCAGGGAAATTCCCACCCCTGCTCCTGGAAGCTGCCAAGCCATCGAGCCATGTGGTCAGGCCCCAGGTGCGAGCCATGTGGTCAGGCCCCAGGTGCGGATGTGGGTATTTCCCTGACTCACCTGGAAGCTGAGAACGTCCCTGGAATCTCCCAGAAGCCCGTGGCAGTAAGGGGTAGGGGGCCTCTCCGAAGCTCACCAGGGAAGCACAGGGACCCTGCTCCACCCCGAGTCCGCCTGCACCCCAGCTCAGAGGACAATGGTTTCTCCACCGCCATCTCCCCAATCTTGGGCATTCTCTCAATGGCCAGCTTGAACCTGGGCCAGGAGAGGGATGAGGCTTCTCTGCATCAGCCTCTAAATAGATGGTGGTGTCCTGGCAACAGAGCAGGTGCAGGCTCACCTGAGCCGCAGTGGGTCGTGAGCCACCCTGGGTGGTGGTGGGTGTGAGGGCTGGTCCCTGGAAGATGGTTCACTTCCCCCCACATCACCTCCACTCACTGGCCATTGATGGAACAGGTCAGAGGTGCCACCAGATGTAGGAGGGACTCCCTCTGAGGGAGGAGGGCAGGTGGCATGGGTGAAAGTTAGCTCAGCAAATCAATAATTTAACAGAATCACTTAACTATTGCAGTTGAAAAAAAAATACTGGTTTCAGCCTATAACATGAAATATTTTTTTGCCAACCTAGATTATTCTCTTGACATCTTAGGTTTTCTAACTACATGAGTAAAACAGTTTTTATAAGAACATATAGGAGACCACTTAGAGTCTCACACACTCATGATACTCTTATTTGAAGTTTTACAAATATGTGCATTTTATAGCTGAATTTGGCTAGAAAATAGTGACTTGCCTCACTTTCATTGTGAAAGAGGTTATAGTTTACTTGAATTTCTGCTGGACGCTTTCAGTCATCGATGAAAAGCACCTTCCATTACGTCCACTCTGGAAGGAGAGTAGAAGAATTACTTGAACTAGAAATTGTTACTTTTTTTTTTTTCATTTGACATGTCTCACTGACTGATCTCCAAATGGATGTATGAATTAAATGAGTTACTTTTATAATGTGTTCACTTCTCTGTCTCAATAACAGGGTCTCAGAATTAGATAATTTTATTACCTGCATCTAACAGTATCGGCCACATTAATTTTTGTGAATAATAAAAGTGGAAATTACTGCAGATCAGGGGAGTCCCTGATCAGTCATTTCCTTCTAAAAGAAAATGCTAGCATTTCTGTGCAAAAGGGTCTTAATTATGCATTTGTAGCATTCATATGCTTTATTCTGCTTTCCCCTTATGCAGCTGAAGTTCTAATGATATTCACACCATTAATATTATCCAATCACCTACCCTACATTTAATTTGCAATGTCATATGCATTTTGCAACAGAAAAAAAATTACAAAGATGGATACATTGTGTTTTCCCAAGAGTCTTTACTGTTGAAAGACATAAGAAGAACTTGAAGAGTCTTAATATCTTCAGGTCATGAATTATTTCTTAAAGAGATTTAAGCATTAGTAGCCGCCTGAGGTATAGCTTCTTTAGTGATAATCTTCAATTTGTTTAAAATTTGAGAACTATTAAGAGAAACACTACACTAAGCTAGGCCATAATTATAGCTCTTACAAAGCTATTTTACAGATCATATATTTCCAAACAATTTTCTGATTCTAAAATGAGTTTCACCAAAAGGTCTCACCTTGTGGATGCATTATGTAAAAATTTTAGGCGAAGTGGATTTAAAAGTAAATTAAACCACAAGATAATAAAAAGCATCTTTCCATATAATTTAAGGTTTAGAGTAGCATTGTAATTTAATTTCTGCAAATCAACTCTTGACACACGGGGTTTTCAAGCATGTAATTGTAGAATGCAATTCACAATGACACAGGGAAGGGACACGGAGAATCTGGAGCGCTCATGTCAGGGGCTTCTTAGTTGATAAGAAATTGGGGAGCACCAGGCACTTGCCACTCAGTGTTTTTTGACACTAATCTAGAATGAAAGCAGTGATAAAAACTGCATAGACTCCTCAAAAGGGAGCATGTAAGTGAAGCTGTCAAGAGCAGGTGCGTCCGGCAGCCGTCTTCACACTGAGAACAGACTCCCCAGTGTGTCTGTCATTGTGACCACGGTCACAGGGATCCTTTTCAGGACATGTGGCATTCCTGGCTTTTCTGTAACAGACCCTAATTAGCTTTGACATTTTTATTAAAGCGGTGCTCATTTTTTTATCGTGGAACAAATACTGCATTTTAAATGAGCACACTGTATTAAGTCATACAAGCTGTAATTACTTGTGGGCGAGGACGTAGAGAAAAGGGCCGCTCCGGCACACTCAGTGGGGCGATAAACTGGTGCAACAACTATGACAAATAGTGTGGAGATTTTGCCAAAAATTTAGAATAGAAAAACTATATGATTCAAGGATTCCACTTCTGGATATTTAGCCCAAAAATATGAAAATGCTAATTTCAAAAGATGTAGGTGCTCATGCCTTCACCGCAGTACTAGCTACAACCCCCACATTGTGGGAAAAACCTGCATGCCCAGTGACAGGCGGGAGGGTAGAAATGTGTGTATCTATGCCGTGGAATACTACTCAGCTCTGGAAAAGGTGAAATCCTGGTATTTGTGACAACATGGATGGAACTTGAGGCTATTATGGTAAATGAAATAAGTCAGATGGAGAAGAAAACCATCATATGAGTGCATGTGGGAAAAAGAAAACAAGCAAACGAACAATTAAAACATAAAAAACTCTTAGGTACAGAGAACAGAGTACTGGTTACCAGACAAGAGGTTCCAGAGGGGGTAAACTAGTAAAGAGGGTGAATTATATGGTATTAGGTAGAAACTTGACGTTTGAGAGGCACATGCTGTCATATACATAGATATGAAAATATGCTGCACACCTACAGCTCATCTAAGGTTATTTCAGTGTGGAAATTTTTTAAAATATATAATTGAGTGGGGCTAATGGCATTTTCATCTAAAACCTAGCTGATGATATCTCCTCTCACAGGACATATTTCACTTGGCATTAAGCCTCCCTGACAACAGAGAAGGTGCATTCCCTGATATTTGAGTTATTTATGCTTTTTCCTAGGTAATTACAGAGAAGTAATTCATGAAAGGTTCACAGCAGTAATTAAGTCTTGTCATTTTATCTCATATATGACTAAATATTTGGCAGACTAAATTGCATATTAATAAATGAAATATAGATATTATTATAAGGAATATTACACCAGATGACTATACCTGTTAATTAAATATAGGAAATTGATATTTATCCACCAAGGAATATATTGTATTTTTATGTAATCATGGAAAAGACAATAATATTGTCACCATGAGTTAGTAAAAATTGATGGCTCTATTTCCCAAATAACTGGTCTACATTTTGTCTGCATTGGATAATATTTAAAACATCAGTGAAATTTCTGCTTTGCTGTGTTACCATACTAGAAGCTGTTATGCCTGCTTTCTGTTCTTCAGCCGATTTTTTGATTAATGAAATAATAATGAAGCATTTATTGTAGTTTTGAATTTCCTGTAGTAATTTAAAAAACTAGTGCAATTGCTTACTTCAAACCAATCAATTCAAATGATTGAAAGTCTACAGAAAGATCCAGACAGAACGTGCAGCTCAGATTTTAAGTGCTGCTTTGGAATCAATATGTAATCTCTAGTCCGTATGAAATAATTACAAACCAAAATTGAAAAAAAACAAACTGATCTATAAGTGGCTAAGTTGGTCAGCATTTATTAGTACCTCCTCACATGTGCATTTTATGTTCTGATGTATATTTTGTCAGTTCCTTAGTGTATTTACATAGGAATACTTTCTCCATGAATGAAATCTTAAGTAAATATCCTTAAGGACATTATGCTAAAAAAATACTGAGCAGGATTTACATCTTTTAGCATAAGCTTTTCAAATGCAGGAACACTGGACTTTACATATGCCATGGATTATATTAGCAATGCCAAATCTTATCAAACAACACTCACATTTTGCTTAGAGTTAAACATTCTTTTGTTCAAACTCATAAAGAACACACTGTAGGTTGCCAGAGACAAGGAGACTGGAGAAGCAGGGAGTTGCTAGTAACCAGGTATAAAGTTTGAGTAATGCAAGATGAGTAAGTTCTAGAGAGCTGCGACACTGCATTTTGTCTGTAGTTAGCAATATCATATTACATGCAAAATTCTGTTCAGGTGGGAGATCTCCTGTTAAGTGTACTTCCTACAGGAAATGAAAATTAAAAACTACACATAAACAGTAAAAAAAGAATGTTTAAAATTTTATGTATAATGAAAAGAATTAATTTCAAAACAATTTTGTTTTAAAATTTAAATATTTGCATTTTATATGTTAATTCTTTGTTTTACTTGGTAACAAAGTCATATATTTAGATGTGGCCACATTGATTTTTTATATACAAAGAAGGAACCCAGTTTGACCTTGAACTGAGGATTTTTTTTTTAATTGACTAGCATTAGTTTACAGAGTTGTATAGGACCCAATAGCACGTTTTCTCACCAGCCCCACCACCAAATAGCCAGTCACCATGTAACAGGGGGTCCCCAGGAAAGGGGGAGGTTCCAGGTTCCCTGCCCCACCCAAAAGGAGGGTGGAGCTGAGCAGGGAGAGAAGAGGCTGCAGAGACTGAGGAAGGAAGGAGCAGGGTGGAGCCAGAAGGAGACCTGGAGGAGGCCCATGGAGCCAAGACACATGAAGAAACTACGCTTGCCTTTTGGTCGTGGACAGGGTGACACAGATGTGGGTGAGACCCATGGGGAGGTGACAATGGCTGTTTTTGTCTTGATTTTGATTTTGCTCTTTTCCTTCCAGTCTTGTCTGGTTGTTTCTGACCCTTTTCTGTGGGTCCCCACTGGAAGGTGCTTTAGACTTGGGGCAGCTTTGGGGCCTTGCTCTGAGCCAATCCCATTTGGATGGAGTTTTACCCACGAGGGGACGGGTCACTTTGGGTGCTTGATTTAGAAACTAGACTCTTTGCCTTTCCTGTATTGTTTCCTAGTTGTATTGAAGTTCCTTCCCATTAAAGTCTCATACATTTTGTGTTGATGCGGCAGATGACAGAGCCCATTTAGAGCAGGCAGGTTTTGGGGTGGTCTGGGGTGCACCTCTCCCTGCCCTGTAACAACCATCCGCCACCAGCCAATCGCCCCACCCCCACCCCATGTTGTTTCCCATAGTAATTCACCAATTAACATTCCCATCAACAGTGGACACGGGTTCCTTTTTCTCCATATCTCCAACGTTTATCATTTCTTAAATTTTTGATAATAACTATTCTAACTGGTGTAAGGTGATATCTGATTGTGACCGTTATATGCTTTTCCCTTAGTGATAAGTAAGTATAAATGTACTGAGGCACATTTGTATATGTGTGAAAAGGCATGGGGAAGTAGGAGGAGAAGCAGGTAAGAGGTGTAGAGGGATTGTGTTCAGATTTTTAATAATTTGGATGACAATCACACTTTCTGGTGAGTGCCTTCTCTGTGCCAAGGCCCTTGCCAGAGAGCTAATCTGTTCAGCACCTTCATGCATGACCATGGAGGAGACCAGGTAGCTGGTTAACTTCTCTCCCCACATTTTATAATCCCTGTGAATAGACCCAGGCATATTTGTGTGGTAGGAACATTTTCAGCACGCATCTTTAGCACTGCAAAAATGCCAATCCATTGTTTCTGGCTTCCATTGCTTCTGTTAAGAAGTCAGCCATCTGTCTCAGGGGATTTTCCTTGAGAGATGTGTCTTATATTCATATTCTCCAGTTGCTTCAAAAAGTGTTTTTTATCTTTGCTTTATTATCAGCAGCTTCACTATGATGTTCCCAAGGGCTTCTTTCATTGTTCTGTGTTCATTTTTATTTTTCATCATCACAACTTTGATTTTTGCTTTGGACCC